AAACGAAACAAATTGGTCATTTGTGTCTAATCCTTTTGTCACCGGTTTCTTTGTAGAGTTAAAGAAAGCAAGTAAACGCATGACCTGCCATAAGCGGTATAAAATCCAAAAAAAGGTAAGTCCAGTGCTTAGGAGAACTGTATTAAATATAATCCTAACGTGATTTCTGCTCCACCTCTCCTCCACTAGGAGGTCTGGATTAATAGGATTTCACCTCATGAAACTGAAGTTAAATAGACTGTCCATGGGTACAAGTTCTTAGGCATCAGGAATATGGCTGTGGGAAAGTGCAGTAATTTGGTGATAAGAAAGTCTGTAAACTCTGATCAGTATGTTAACCCTTGCATAGAATCTTCTGGTGACATTTTTTTTTTGCTACAGCTTTTCTAGGTTATTTTACAGGCATAACTAACTTTAGCCAGATTGGCTAGTAAATTTCATAAACTAATAAAAATTTTTATTATGATAGGTTCGAGAGCACCATCGAAAATTGAGGAAGGAGGCCAAAAAACAGGGTCGCAAAAAGCCTAGAAAAGACCCAGGAGTTCCAAACAGTGCTCCCTTTAAAGAGGCTCTTCTTCGGGAAGCTGAGCTAAGGAAACAGCGAGTAAGATATGTTAGCTGAAACTTTGAACAAGTGATGTGTGGGTATGTGTATTTTTTGAAAGTAAAGTGATACCAAGTTGCTTTGGCTCACCCTTTTCTCATGACTTGGATACAGCTTGAAGAACTAAAACAGCAGCAGAAACTCGATAGGCAGAAAGAACAGGAAAAGAAAAGGAAACTTGAAACTAACCCTGGTGTTAAGGCATCTAACTTGGAACCTGTGAACGAGGTATGATCAAGTGTCTTTGTGAATGAGAGTTCTATTGTAGAAGCAAAAGTACAGACTTAGGGCAGGGGCTGTTGTACCTCCTGGGCAGAAAAAGACCATTCTCACTCTGTTTTACCTATAGAAATAACAATTGCAGTGCTCCTAATTAGCCATGGAAAGTGGAGAAGGACGTTACAACTGAACTGCTAATTTTGTGTTTTTCCTTTGTTTTTTTATCTTGTAGGAATTTGGGCAGCGTAAAGCTAAGAACAAAGCCAAGGCAGGCAAACAGAATCCAAAGAAGTTGTATTGTCAGGAACTTAAAAAGGTATTTTAGTCTAGGCTAGTGTGTAAAAATGATAATGAGGTTGGAAAAGACTAGAGTCATTCTTTTTTCCTGTTACCAACCCTGAAAAGGTGGAAGTGGAATTCACTTGAGCTAGAAAAATTTTTCAGAAAGTTGGCTTATCCTATTTGTTTATTGTGGTTTATTCTATTTAGAGCCTTTTCTGTTTAGCTAAAGGAAATATTCTTGTGTTTTAAATTTTTTGCACAGGAACAGTTTCCTATGAGCATGATTTACAAAAGTGGTACTTTGTGTTAAAGTAACATGATGATATAGCACATTTTAAAATCGAGTAAAACATGGGGTGCTTAGGTGACTCATTCAGTTAAGCATCCATGGTTGTTTCGGCTCAGGTCATGATCTCATGGTTCGTGCGATCGAGTCCCACATCCATGCTGTTAGCATGGAGCCTGCTTAGGATTTTCTCTCTCCCTCTCTCTCTGCCCGTCCCCCAACATGTGGGCACTTGCACTCTCAAAAATAAAACTTAATAGAGAAAAATACATTATAGCAAGCAGTGTGGAAAAAGTCTCTAAAATACTCTTGTTGGAAGTATTGTGTGACCTAAGTGAAGGAGGTCAAGGGAGTGTCTTGGCATAGCTGCTCCCCAGAACTCCCATCCCCAATGCCCGTTTTCCTAAGCTCACTCCCCTCTGTGAATAGAACATGACTGCTGCTCAGCAGTCTTGGCAGGGCCACAGGGGCCTATCAAACTACGTAATTCACTATGGGAGGGTAATATGTTCAAGACAGTGGGGTATTTCCACTTTGATGAGAGACCAGAGGCTGCCAAGCAAACTTGTGTTTCACTTTCCTATGAGAAATGATATGTGAACATCCTTCATGCCAAAGTGAAGACAAAAGATCCAACTTTGAGTTGCAAAGTGGAAAACGCCAGTATACTTGTATGGAGGGTGTTGCCAGAGTAAGGGATGCTCCTCTGATAGTTTCTGCCTTGACAGGTGATTGAAGCCTCAGATGTTGTGCTGGAGGTGTTGGATGCCAGAGATCCTCTTGGTTGCAGGTGTCCCCAGGTAGAAGAGGCCATTGTCCAGGGTGGACAGAAAAAGCTGGTACTTGTATTAAATAAATCAGGTGAGCAAAAGGGATGTTTTATGTTCCATATGCACTAGTGAGGTATGAGGAAAACATGTGAGCAGTCTGATTTTTACTGAAGACTGTTAAGATCCAACTCTGATCTCAGTAAAGCCAGTGCATATGGTCTTGTTGCCAAAGACAGTGCTAGGCAATGGGGTGGAGGTATTTTCTATAAGAGATCAATTGGTTTCAACTTTCTTTTTGACATTCATTACTTAGCACTTTGTCTTATTCAAGAGTGTAAGCTTCTGTACATAGGAAGAGATGGCAGTATGACAGTATTTATGTGAAGTGCAGGTACGTACGGGTTTGAGCATCAGGGCCAGGAAAACCCAGAACAGAGACTTGGGAAGCAAAGTAATATTGGGATCCACAGTTACTGCTGGGGCCAGTAAACATGGCTGATATGTGAGAGTAAATTTTGGAAACATAGCCCTAGAGTTGTAGGGTAATGATCTACAGGTTGACTTAATTCTGAAAGGGTGAGTAGTACAGAGGAGAATTGAAGAAATACAGAGGTATAGATACCAAAATCTGTTGAGATAAGGGCAACATAGTGGGGAGCTTACCCTCTCCCCATCTTCCACTTAAATCTTTTTGAAAAAACTGAAGAGACAAACCAGAGTGAAATCCAGTTTATCAGATAGTGCATGTTCCTATCAACAAAATTACCAAATTGGAGTATGTGTCTTATTCCTAAATCCTATTAGATTTGGTACCAAAGGAGAATTTGGAGAACTGGCTAAATTATTTGAAGAAGGAATTACCAACAGTGGTGTTCAGAGCCTCAACAAATCTGAAGGACAAGGGCAAGATAATCAAGGTACTCTTCACTGTTAGTGGTGGGAAGTATGGTTCTTTCAGATTTTGGATGGCTGAAATATGATGAGTGTACAAAATCTTGATTAAAAAATGAGAACTCATAAGATCCAACTCTGATTTCATCCAGGGATAATCTGAAAGATAATAGTGTGATTTTAATAGCTGGGTTCTGGAACCAGATTGCTTGGGTTTTATCTGGTGAGTTATCAGAAGTAAACTTAACTTGGAATTTTATTTAGCATTTGAAGTTAAAGAAGAGAGCTCCATTCAAAAATGAAGTCTGTGTTGGGAAAGAAGGCCTTTGGAAGCTTCTTAGAAGTTTTCAGGAGACTTATGGCAAAGCCATTCGGGTTGGAGTAATTGGTGAGTTTCAGTTCAACACATCTTACGTATTATCTCTTAAGTGCCAAGAATTTTTCCATGTTAACTGTGTGGGGTTGGTGCTTAATAAAGGGCTTGTTCAAACATTAGCTTCTTGCCCATTTCAGATACACACAAAGAAACGTTAATTGCTGCCTATTTCAGTCTTTTGCCAGATGTGCACTGTAGGAAGTTGGCTTCTGAAAGCTCCCTAGTTTATTTGAATTAATCCTCCTACCCTTGATTTCTTGTGCAAGAAATGAAGATGCTAAGATTCGTCTTAGTGTTGAAATGAAGACACTCAGATCCAACTCTGATCTTGCTCTAAACATCAGGCAAACCTAAAATAAGGCAGTGGAAATTTGGTAATTACCAATTACATAATGCCTTTTGTTCTGTGGATTTCCCATTTGTAGGTTTCCCAAATGTGGGGAAAAGCAGCATCATCAACACCTTGAAACAAGAACAGATATGTAATGTTGGTGTATCCATGGGGCTGACAAGGTAAAAGTGAGTTCTTACATAATTATAATATCTTATCATAGATGAGTCAATATTTTGTTTTCAATAGCTTAAGGAAGACCATTCTTTCTTTAGAGGTGTCAGTGAAAGGAACAGGGTTAGGTTAGTGCTAGGTTTAGGGAAGAATGGATTCGAGTGGAATAGCTCACATCTAGTTTGAAAGATAAGCAAATAGATTGAGGGGAGGGGAAATCTTTATGGCAGAGGAAACAGCATGCATTTAGGTCAACATATAGGCTATAACGTAGTGTTTCTTTTAGAAGTAGATGGAGCACCGTTAGGGTTTCAGATAAAACACGAAGCAAATGATGATAAACTGGATCTGACAGACTGTGTGCTGAGTTTGTTCAATCCAACCCTGAGCTTCGTGTTGTCTCTCATCCTTCAGGTAAACCAGTGCTCCCATCAGTTACCATCCCTCTTGTTCTAGGTGCATGCAGGTTGTCACCTTGGACAAACAGATCACAGTCATAGACAGTCCAAGCTGCATCGTGTCTCCGCTTAACTCTGCCAGCACACTTGCTCTGAGGAGTCCAGCGAGTATTGAAATGGTGAAACCAGTAGAGGCCGCTAGTGCCATCTTGTCCCAGGCTGATGCTCGACAGGTATAAGAACCTCTTCCCTTGAGCTCCATTTTCTCTTTCATCGTAAGCATTTAAGTGGGAGATTTTTCAAGGCTTTTTACACTGTATCAGATGAATGACATTTTCAGTTTTCCTTTTTTTTTTTTTTTAAGGTAGTACTGAAATTTACTGTCCCAGACTTTAAGAATCCTCTGGAATTTTTTACATTGCTTGCTCAGAGAAGAGGACTGCACCAAAAAGGTGGAAGCCCAAATGTAGAAGGTGCAGCCAAACTGATGTGGTCTGAGTGGACAGGGTAAGACTCCTTTCTCTTGGCATTTTGAGGACCACATGGAATGAAGACCACTGGTTTTTGACAAATCTTGTTTTTAATACTAGTGCCTCCTTAGGTTACTATTGCCATCCCCCTACATCCTGGACTCCTCCTCCACATTTTAATGAGGGCATCATGACAGACATGAAACAGGGCTTTAATCTGGAAGAATTGGAAAAGAACAATGCACACAGCATACACAGTAAGCAAGGCTTGTGTTTGCTCTCTTCGTTGGCTGACAGGGCAGTAAAAGGTCTCTGTTTACATGGGCTATGTTCCTTCCCTAGGCATCAGGGGCCCTCGTTCAGCCAGGAGCATCCTTTTCCAGTCTTCAGGTCTAACAAATGGAATAATAGAAGAAAAGGACATTCCTGAAGAACTGCCAAGACAGAAAGAGAAACAGCAGGAGGAGGGGGAGGACCACAACGACCTTGACAGTGACCAGGAAAGTGTTGATGAAGAAGCTGATGTAAGTATGTTGCACACAAGTTGCTTAAGCTTGAGTGCATTTTTTATCAATAATGTTTAACAAATGGGAAAGGGATGAAAGTAGAAATTAAACAGTTCATGATAGACTACAAAAAAAAAAAAACAAAAAAAAAACCAACCAAGAAAAAAACCTAAGATTTAGTATTTAAGGTTTGCAGTCATTAGTCTTAATTTTGTGTGTCTCATTACAAGTACCTTCAGAGTCTTTCCAGATGTGCAGTTAGTTAGATTGAGCAGACAAGGATTACTAATCTTGCACTGTTTCTTTGTCCCACAGGAAGAGAGCTTAGCCATGGTCCCGGCAGAAGAGACGTGGGCACTGCCTGAGGAGTCTCAAGCAGGTGGGTTGGTGGAGGGATTTACCAATAACAAAGCAGCATGGTATGGAATTTTAACCTTAACTTTTCTTTTCTCCAATATAGATGAGGCAGCACAATCTTACATCTCAGATAGAGTGACTGAAGAGGAAGATGATGCTTATGACTTCAGTACAGACTATGTGTAACAACCTTGTCTTTTTAGAAGGTGTTTGTTGGGTTTTGTGGGTTTTGTTTGTTTGTTTGTTTGTTTTTGTTTTTTACATTTTGAGCAGACTGCTGAGCTGTTCTATTGTGTGTGATGTATAGTTTGTTGCTGTATGCCATGAGCTGTGTAAATTTTGTAAATATATATATATCATGGTACACTCATTCTTTAAAAATGAGGCAATTATAAAGTGTCTGAATTCTATAGCAGCACCGCTCTCTTAACAACTGGGTAGAAGTATACTTAATCACCTGGAAGCAAACCATCAGACACCTATTGAAAAATGTAGGTTTCACTTTATTAACAGATCAGCCCACAGGTTAATATTACAAAATTAAAACCAAGCAGTAGTGTTGAACTAGCCGTACCATCCCTGTCAGTCCTTCAGTATGGCAGTAAGCAAACATTTGGTAAGGCAGATGGAGACATTTATAGCCTATCTGGGAAGCTGACTGCTAAACAGGGTAGTTCATCCTCTTTACCCAGCTGAAATGTCCCTCTTTCCATGGGTTGCTGCAGATAGGCATTGAAGCCTTGCAACTGTTAATTCCCACACACACTGTCTTCCAGGATTTCCTGAGAAATGCTTATAGCATAAATTATGTTTTATTTTGTATTTGAGATCTCCATATGTCTTCGGATCAGGCTGAATTTGCCTGTGGGGTCTGGAATATACCATTTTTCCCAGACATCAGAATAGGAAGCAGTTCTTCCCCATGGCTTAAAGTGACCATTCCAATGAAGTAACTTGGCAGCCTTTACAAACTGGGGTGAATATCGTTTTCCAGCACTGGAACCTTACATTGGGAAAAAAAGAGCCAAATGATTGTACCTAGTACTAGTCAGAAATAAGAATGCTACATCAAACTCCAGAAAACTTAAAGGGAACTGGATATATCCCATCCCTGAGGAAAGACACTTAAATTCTTTATTAGTTAGGCCTTTGGTTAATTTTTTCAACTTACCGAGGTGGCGGACATTCCACATGGGGTCAATTGTAGAGTGCTGTTGATAAAATACGATCAACAGAGGTGGTGTTGTGGTGCTGCCAGCCAGTGTTCTGCTGTACAGTCCCTCTCTTGGGGGGACAAATGACAAATGTAAACTGTTAGTGGAGAATCCTTAAAAATTCCTCTTAAACAAGACCACCCAGGTTGAAATAAGCATCTTTACAGCATGGTCAGCTATATATACTTACTCTACATTGAGTTTCATCCATTTTTCCAGCTGGTTGGTTATATTCTGTCTTTTCCATTCTGTCAAGTTTGCAACAAAAACTCCAGGATTAAATGAGCAGGTGCTGGCTTTCATGGAAAGTTTACGAATTCTTTCTTTTTTATAGTCAAGATAGCCAATGTAATTATACTAAAACACAAATGGGATATATAGTAGGTTTATTGCTTCAAACAGAATAGATGTAACTGATAGCCAGTTAAAAAAAAAAACCTGCTTATTAAACTACTCAGATTATTAGCAAAGGGGCTCTGTGTAAAGCAATGAAAAGTGACATTTGGGGGATACCTGGGTGGCTTGGTCAGTTAAGCATCCAACTCTTGATCTTGGTTCAGGTCATACGGAGCCTGCTTGGGATGCTCTCTCTCTCTCCCTGCCCTTCCTGCACACATGTGCCCATGCTCTCTCTTCTCCCTCTCCAATAAACATTTTTAACAAAACAGTGACATGTTGGATTCCAAATTAACAATAGGAACCTAGAATAAACATACTAAGCCAGATGTTCAAGGAGAATCAGGTTGTTAAAATCATGAACCAATCCACAGAAAAGTGGCCTTGAATTTGGGGATGAACTGGGGAATGGAAAATGTAGCAAAAGTAAAGGGCCCCTTGATTTTGCTGCCTCTCCCCATTACCCTGCAGTATAGAGAGTGGCGTGTCTATGTAAGATCTTGAATAAGTACTTTACCTGGTTCCCTGCTCCACGGATGACAACTTTGGTAGAGGCTGAGTCACAATCTTCTGAAAATGCAGCTGCGTGCCCTGGCTTCAGTGGTGTATTGTAAAGGGTAAGAATATCCCCTGAAACAGACAAGGTGTAAGATTTAGATTTACTTTTTTTTTCTTTTAAGATTTACACTTTGAGTTGCCTCAAGATGCCCATTCCTCCCACTTAGGATGACCTTTTATAAGATACCATAAATAAAACAATTGCTACCACCCACACTCTGGATAGAGAACAGCACTAATGGTGACAGTCTTTGGTACCTTGCACAATTACATCATCATCCATATATATGGCCTTCTTTGCACTGGGAACCAGAATTGGCAAGTAGAACCTTGCAAAGGTTAACTGGGAAAGGAAAAAGAAAGAGCCATTGGCACGGGATTCATCAGTGACTATGCCTTTATTAGAAACTCCCAGAGTGCTCTCAGTACCCATGCAGGAGAAGACAGCTAAAGGTCTCTCATAACTGCCCAACCTTGATCCCCAGGGAACCATACCCAGTTACCCAAGTATTCCAGTCACTTCCTAACACAGTGGACTCCTGAAGAACTTGGGGTTTAGGGGCACTGGCCCCCTGCACAAAAATCCACATACAACTTTTGACTCTCCCAAAACTTAATAGCCTATTGTTGACCTTACCTATAGCAGTCCATACATCTGGTATACATACTATATGCTGTATTAGAGTAACGTAAGCTAGGGAAAAATGTTGAAATCGTAAGAACAAACATTTATAGTACTGTATCGAAAAAAAATCTGCATATAGGTGGACCCATGCAGTTCAAACCTGTGTTTGAGTCCACCAAACTCCAAGTACAAACAAGGATGTATGGAACTCACTGGTTTTATGGATTCCCCCTGGTCAGGATCCTCCTTGACTTTCCCTTCCAAAAGTTTAGTGTCAAAATCCACAATTTTGTACCTGATGCTTTTCAGGGTACTGCTGCTGAGCCAGGACCTGATGAAAATAAAGCACCAAATGTGTTTTTAAATAACCGTGTCCTTGGGGCGCCTGGGTGGCTCAGTCAGTTAAGCATCCAACTTTGGCTCAGGTCATGATCTTGCGGTTGATGGGTTCAAGCCCCACATTGGGCTCCGTGCTCACAGCTCGGAGCCTGGCGCCTGCTTTGGATTCTGCGTGTGTGTCTCTCTCTCTCAAAAATAGATAAACATTAAAGAAAAATTTTTAAATAACCATGTCCCCAGGAACTCCTGGGTGGCTCAGTTAAGTGTCCAACTTCAGCTCAGGTCACAATCTCACGTCACGGTTCGTTAGGTGTGCTAAGAGCTCAGAGCTTGGAGCCCACTTCAGATTCTGTGTCTCCCTCACTTTCTGCCCCTCCCACACATGTGTGCACGCGTGCTCTTTCAAAAATAAACAAAAAAAAATTTTAAATAAGTAACTATGTCCCCAAACTACAGCCTTCTCTGTCTTCCAATAAGGGCATAATGTAGTTTAAGAGAAACCCTGGGGACCATATAGATGTCTTCAAGCCTCTTCTACGAGCCTTGGTTTCCTCATCTAAGTGAAGGTATGCCCATCAAACTCCCTGCCTGAACCAAGATTCTGTGGTGATGGAGAGTGCTCCCACCAGGCTCACATTCAGGGTCAGTGCTGGAGAGAAACCAGTTGAGAACATCCCATCATCACACGGACCAATCAACTCTTGTTTCTCCAAATACGTGGTGAAGAAAATAAGTCAAAATATGATGGCAGTGAAAGCTAATTGTCGACAAAACTGGTAGCCTGTTCTTTTAGACTCATTAATTCACTGTAATGACCAAGTAATTCCTCCACCAGTGTCTAAGGTACTATCTCTAAGAAAGTCTGTGTTCTGTAAATGACTGCACATTTTTCCTGTAGTCTCTGCTAGTACGGTCTTTCTACATTATTTTAGATGGTTTTGGAGTTTTTATTTACTTTTTTAAAGTTTATTTTTGAGACCGAGAGAGGCAGAGCATGAGCAAGGGAGGGGCAGAGAGAGAGAGGGAGACCCAAAATCTAAAGCAGGCTCCAGGCTCTGAGCTGTTAGCACAGAGCCGGAGGCAGGGCTTGAACCCACGAGCCACGAGATTGTGACCTGAGCCAACAAACTGAGCCACCCAAGCGCCCCTTGGAGTCCTTAAAATATAGGAAAAATAACAACTTTCACAAACTAAACAGGAACCATGGAGAAAGTCACAAGGACAGAAATGTTTTAGAACAGTGACAACTGTTAGCCTATTAAATAAGATGTTTCTTTGAATATCATAAATCTGAATTCAGAGCATTTTCAAGATCTGGATGACTTTATCAGATTAGGATTCTTTGATTAATCACAATTACAGTAAGGAACGTTTACTGACTATTATGTTCTTAATGTTTTTTTTATATATTCTCATTTTCAACACAATAATCCTCTAAGTTGGACATTTTCAGCCCATACTTAGAGATGACGAAATGGGCTCCCAGGGGTTAAGTAATTCTCCCCAATCACTGGGCCAGGATCCGGATTCTCGTCTATATGCTCACTTCACCACACCACCTTGCCATCGTTCCCCCGAACCATCCCACTCTAGAACTAACTACTCAGGGTGTGTCCATGAGATAAGGAACTTGTAACAGAATGTAAATCAACATATTGCTTCCTTCACTGAGAAATTATTACTAAAAAAAACCCTTGATTTAATAATGTGTGTATGACTAAATTAATTTACATCTTGGTACAAATTCCTTATATTCTTTCTCCTACCACAGGGATGTGTTTATGATACAATCACATGGAAAAACCTCTCATGTGCAGTTTTTATGTGGTATGATCTCAATTGTATAGAAGAAGTATACACATATGGAAAAAAACATTCCTGGATTGGCAGCTGGCCTGTTCTAGAGCATCCTCTAGAAGCAGAATCATCAGGCAAGCAGAGCTCACCGGAGATGGTCTGCTGTACCATTGAGTGTAACAATGTAAAACATCACATTGGAGCGAGTGTTGTGCTGAATGCTGTTTATGGCTGCAATGGCCCCCCCGAGCCTATCTTCAGATGCAGCGATGACCACAGGAATCTCCTCTTGTCTCCCGTCTACAGCTTGTCGGGGAACATTTGGGACAAAGTCTATGGGCTGAAACCCCACAATTCCTGAATCTGCAAAGAACACACACAAGGAAAATATTGTGATACAAAACCTCATAAGCTCTTGCTCTAGAGCCCAAGACATGATAAGAGGTAAGGTGAGGATTATACTTACTTCATTCTCCCCCCATTACAACATGAGGCATATAGCTCAGAAGCTCTGTGTTTTCCTATGTGTGACAAGGCTTTTGGAAAAGTAGAAACATTAAAAAAAATATTGGTGGACTGAATTCTGATACATTACTGGTGGGAATACAATAGAATCTTTCCAGAATGTCTTTTTAGTAATTTGTATCAAGAACCTTAAACAGGTACATGATCTCTGACCCAGTAATTCCCCTTGCCTCTCTTAAGTACAAATCTGAGAGGTAATCCAAAGTCACAAGTGTGTTTATAATTGTGAAAACCTAGAAACCGACTAAACCATTTTTTTTCAAACCATGAACTATGTCCCATAAATAGGCATGAAATCAATTTAGTGGGTCACAATCAGAATTTGAGTAGAAAAGCAATTCCTGAATTGGAACAGAGCACCAAATCAGAAAAGTATCAGACCACACACCACACACAGCAATTCTAAGTACTATTTTGTAAACGTTCCTTTTTGCCTTTTACAATATATATTCATTCATTTACATTCATTGGACACTGAGCATCTAATATGTGCTAGGCATTGGGGTCATAGCCATAAGTAAAACACAAATCTCTACCACCATGAAGGATAGATGGACAATAAGCAAATACACATGTATATTTGGGTGCTATCTATAACATGTTTCTTATTGTGGGGATGCCATCAAAAAAAGGCTGAGTCACATTGTTCCAAGACTATTTTTCCTGTGGAAAACAAACTATGTGGCATTAAAATTATATATGAAGAATATCTACCATCACGGTGACTTGCTTCAGATATAATCACATGGAAAAACAGGTCATTGCAGTTTATATATAACATAATCTCATGACAGAAAAAATACATACACAGAAAAAAAAAGGCAGGAAGGTACTAAGCCAAAATTTTAGTAATAGCTGTATCTAGGCAATGAAATAATTTTCAATGAAAATTTATTGAGCACCTCCTATGTACTAGCCATCATCCAACTACATAGGAGATAAGCAGTGAACAAAGTATTCTCGTGGAGCCTGAATGCTGTTTTCCTTTTTCTAAATGTTCCCACCAAGAGCATACATTATGCATACATTATACATATCATACTTACTTGCTTAATGTATGTTGTATGTACATATGTAAATACATACTGTTATTTCAGAGCACTCTGTGAAGGTCAGGCAAAAACTATTCATCTTTTCTTGTTCTGGTCAACTAGGGTGGGTAGCAACCGCAAAATGATTTTTGACAAACATCCTGAAACCTCCCAATATTGCAGTAGAGCAATGGAATTACGCAATAAAGTGATTTTTTACATCAGTTAATAAGGCTTTCTGGTTTTGTTTTACTACTATGGTCCCAGTACTACTGTTCCACACGTTAAAAGAAAGAACAGATGAAGGAAAGGAGCCCAATGATACCAGTAAACAGGGCAGGCATCAAGTAGAAGCTTCACATACCTGTCCCCACCTTCTGAAGCCCTCCCCTGCTGCAAGGAGCAGACAGTTCCCCCAAGGCCTCTGCTTTGGTGAAAAGGGGTCTGCGGTAAAATCAAACCCTTAGCAAATCTCCACAACAGGGAGGTGGGGGTGGGGCTATAAGAACACAAGGAGCACCACTACCTTTTCCTAGCAGCTTTTGTAAGGACAAGAAGAAAACTTTATTTTCCTTTAGCCTAGTGTTATAACTTTTAGGATGTGGGACACAGGGAACCCTGGGTCCTCAACAAATGCCAAAACATTAGTAAGGGTTCCCATACCTGAAACCTCATTCCTTAGCAAACTGCTCAGGCCGAGAAAGTTATGGTGCAAAACCAGTAGGAAGAGAACAACAACCAGGACCAGGACGATGATGTTTACTGAAACAAAGAGGAAAAGCCTGCATTACATCTCTTTACCTTTTAAGCAGCTATAAAAACAAGAAAATTTGTAGAAAGAGCATACCTTTACGGAATGACATCTTTCTCTTCTGTCTTATATAAATATTAGTTTTTAACCCTACAAAACAAAAACAAGCCCCCAAAGTCAGCAGGTACATGAGAATGGCCATCGAAATGCCTCAGCATTTTATTTAGGTAGAAACAAGAAATGCATACAAGTATTTTCTGCCAGAAGCTCATTCTGAATTAATAGTCTCCAAGAACCCAATTTGGGATCTGAATTTTATATAGTTGTCATGATAATAAAATACTTGCAAATAACCTGGGAGAAATAGATAGCCTTGTATGTTAAATGTCACCAGATGAAAAGCAAAATAAATTCTACCAAGAGGACTACTTGAGGTCTAACCACTATGGAAATGTTCTCCAGGTGAAATTTCTAGTTAAATTAGACATGGACTCTGTTGTCTATAGCCTGAGGCCGGCCTCACTGGCACAAAACGTCCCTGTTCTGAGTTGTATCCCATTCAGCTTTAACTGGAATTAAAGAGAAAAAATTTTCCAACTTCATTTAAAACAAAATTTCATTTAAAGAGAAATTCATTTAAAGAAACATAATTACAAAAATGCACAAAACCCAATTTTGCCGTCAAAATTTGAGACTGCTGTTCTCAAAAATTTTAAATCCCCTAAAAGAAAAATGAGCTTCTTTCCAGGGTTTCATTTCTGTTGGTTAACTACTCATCTCTTCCTAAAGTGGTGTCCAATACTGTCACTCTGCCTGTGGCTTGTGCTCCTCAGCTCATCTGATGCCTTCACTTAAAAAAAGATTAATAGCCTGGCTGGCTCTGTCAGAAGAGCATGGGGTTGTGAGTTCAAGCCCTGCAATGAGTGTAAAGATTACTTAAAAAATAAACAAAAAAGAAAACTGTAAAATAATAATAATGATCATTCAATAAAAATGAGATTGTGTGTGGAACAAAATTAAATGATGAGATTTCTACAACAATCTCTGGGTAACGTTTCCTTATAAAAACAGGTTTATGCAACCAGGGTATTATAATCCTACCTTTGAGACATTTACCATTTTCTACTTCATCTTCCCCCTTGGAAGCATCTAACATTTACATAAGGCTACTAACTTCACAACGCACCCTGAATTATAGCATATTTCTACATCAAAGTAGTGGTGCCTGGGTGGCTCAATTGGTTAAGCATCTGACTTCAGCTCAGGTCATGATCTTACAGCTCATGGGGGTTCAAGCCCCATGTCGGGCTCTGTGCTGACAGCTCAGAGCCTGGAGCCTGCTTTGGATTCTGTGTCTCCCTCTCTCTCTGCCCCTCCTCCACTTGCACTCTGTCTCTCAAAAATGAATAAACATTAAAAAAAAAATTTTTTTAATACAAAAAATTTAAATAATTAAATAAAAGTAAGTTTGAATTAATTTCATCTTAAGTGTGTGCCTATCAGGCACTTGATTTCTCAAGACCTTTGAAAAAAAGAGAAAAAAAAGAAATCTATTGAAGGGTTGTTTTAAGAACTGAGAATCACAGATTAGACTACAAACTGGGGAGAAAATAATTCAGACTCCCAAAGAACAATCTAAAATACATACACACACACTCTCTCCCTCTCTCCCATTTCTTTCTAGAGCAGTATATATAAAGTACATTATACCAGTGAACTTCTCTAAAGAATGCATGTCATTATATACACTGTGTGCTTTTCACATGGTGGGCTGAGCCTTACCTACAGAAACTGGTGGACCAGGAGCCCCGCAGACAAAACTCTAACATCTGCCTGCTTGGAGCCAATTTCCACCACAAATAAAGAGAACTATCTCACTCGAATAAATCTCATTTAACTTAATGATACAAGGGACAGTGTTTTAGCTCAACAACGTCCAGTCAGTTACTTACAGAGAGTATGTGGATTGAGAGGTAATTAGCTAGACACAAGAAAATCACAATCCTGACAGGTACTTGATGTACTTAAATAAACTACCATGGCAGAAACCATTTGCTTCTAAAACTTCCACAGTTATCTCTCTGCAAAATGCCAATTATTATGCAGTATGTCTGATCCATATTTTCTTTCCTATTGCTACTCCTTGTAATGAAACTCACTGATGTGGTTAGAAAGAATTCTCAAAACCTCATGTAGACCCTGGATGTGTAATAGTGGCTATGTTTTTGTAACAGTACACAGCTAAGAACAATTTGATCAGCAATATTCAATTTTTCACTAGGGAAGTTAATATTTTGTTTAGAAATTATAAAAACTTCACATTCCCAAATCACTCACAAAACACACACACACAACCAGGACAGGCGTATCCAAAAAATATGGCTGAAGAAACCTTAGGGAGAAAGAATACCATTTTTTTTTAACTTGCTAGTTACCGGCATTAGCACCCATTCTCGGCAGATGTACCCACCTTTTCTGCTCTCCCTCTTGTTAATATGTAGTCCCAAGAAAGGTCATTCCACTTACGCTCTGTAAGCTATCTCTACTTGTTTCCTTGGCGCAACATCAGCAAACTCACTCTCTCCTGGATCACACCCATCAGCATATTATCATGCTCTTGTATCTTTCCAGTTAATTAATTAAAAAAAAAAAAAAAAAAAAAGACACCACTCCCCTCACCCAGTTGATCCACGGACCCATTTTTCTGCTCCCCTCACTCTAAATGCTTGAAAAAATTTTACCTCTAGCTCTACTTCCTCATCCTCTTCTTTTAGCCTCCTCCAGGCCAGACTTCTGTCCCTACTGTTCCATTCAAACTCATCTTGTTGAGGTCACCAAAGCCCAAGGTCATTTTTTAAAATGTTTGTTTATTTTGAGAGAGAGAAAGAGAGAGAGGGAGGGGCAGAAAGAGAGAGAAAATCCCAAGCAAACTCCACATCCAGCGAGGAGCCCAATACGGAACTCAATCTCACAACTGTATCTCAGGCCAAGGTCATCTTTCTATCCTGTTATCCATCCCCTCAGAGGCCATCAGGAAAGTTCACCACATCCCCTCCTCAATTATGAAATCCTCTCATTTATTTTTTTTTTAATGTTTATTTTTGAGAGATAGAGCATGAGCAGGGGAGGGGCAGAGAGGGAGGGAGACACAGAATCTGAAGCAGGGTACAGGCTCTGAGCTGTCAGCACAGAGCCCAATACAGGGGCTCGAACTCAGGAATGGTGAGATCATGACCAGAGCCCAAGTCGCATACTTAACCAACTGAGCTACCCAGGTGCCCTTCATTTCTTTGTTTCTTTATATCTGTCTTCTGGGCCTAGAATGTGAGCCCTAATGAGAACAGAGACCCCAATGAAACAAAGTGTTTACTGATGTATCCTCACCATCAAAAACCTCCACTGGTAGTGGGCAGGTGATATTTGTTGAATGATCTTGTAAATAGGAGCATTGGTGGTTCTCAGCTCAGAAAGGGAACACAATCTTTGATAATGGTCATGAAAACACATTTCAACATAAGGAACGACATGGATTCCAGCAGAGATCTCTCTCAAATGGAACCTCACAAGCAATTTCCTTTTTTCATATCTTCATAGCTCAAATAGCGTAATGCCTTTATAGCAACTGACACGTTGTAAAGTGCATTTAAAAAGGAGTAAAACAGGGGTGCCTGGTTGGCTCAGTTGCAGGAGCAAGCGACTCTTGACACCAGGCTGTCAGTCTGAGCCCCATTTTGGGTGTAGAGATTTCCTAAATAAATAAAATTTTTAAAAAGGAAGGGGGAGGGTGTAACAGAAGGATAGGTCAATTTCTACATACAACAGAAAGTCTATTAAGTCTCTGCCAGGCTGAAAAGTGGAAAAGCACTAACGATATACATCCACTTTCTCCTACCTCTTCATCTGGCTAACTCCTACTTGGCTTTCAGGACTCGAGGGAGCCTCTCCTCCCCTCCCCCTGCCCCCTTCAAGATGCAGCTGCCCTGAGCTCCCACATCTCCTGGCCCTCCCTATCCAAGAATAAAGCTGGCTGTCATTTATTTCTAGGGTTACACCATTGTCTCCCTTGACACACTCTGGGCTCTAGGAAGGTAAGGACCTGAGGTTGGTCACAGCCGTATCCTAGGCCCACTGCGTGGCAGAGAAAAAGGTACGGCGAAATGTGCTGAATGTATGAATGTGGGCGGCAGCCTGCCCGGGGAAAGCTGAGCATCCCACTGTCTGTGACCCTGACACGCAACACAGCATAGAGGCCAGAGAGCCACCTAGGATTCACAGGCCCAGGCTCCCCAGGGAGGTTTCTCTCCCAAGCGTGGGCACCCCATCTCGCTCAGGGGGTAACAAGGGAGGGCCTAAGTTTTTGAGATAGACACCAGGTTTGAAAGAGAGGCAAAGCGAACCCTTGGCCCCTATAGGGAGGGGCCGGTGCAGCCGGCGAGCTTGTTGGACGGCCAACCTGGGAGACTCTCCGAATGGAGGCCATCTCTCCATTTCGGTGCAAGGGACGGCGGAGGGGGGGGGGGGGGGGGAACCCCCTCTTTGAGAGGATGCCCTTTCTATTGGGCGATGTGGCCTGGGGTACTGCCCTCTAAATTCTAGGGGTCAATACGGCCCCCTTACGCTTAGGGGTGCTAAGGACGGTGTGACGCTCCGTAGGACCTCCCCACCCCCCAGGCCCAGAGACCCCCGGTTAGGGCCCGGGCAAGCAGCTCATCTCGGACGCTCCCCGCGGCCGCCCTTACCTGCAGCCAGAGGAGGAGGAGCCACCGTCCGGGCCCCGGCCCGCCCCGCCAGCTCAGCGCCCGCGCGGCAGGCCCGGGGGCCCAGTCCGCCGCCGGGCCGCCCGCCTCCCCTGCACTCCGGACCAAGCCCGCCCGCCTGCTAGCTCCGCGGCCGCGGCGCAGCCCCGACACCTGAAACCCGCCCGCCGCTCCGACCGCGGAATCGTGGCGCCGAACAGGCGCGCCGGGCAGCCCCACCGCCCGGGTCCTCGCAGAGAAAAGCCGGTCGCCATGGAGACGGCGCGCGCTGGCGGCCGTTAGGCCGCCGGGGCGCTGAGGGGGACAGTTTGGAGGGCCGGGGCCGCGGCTCCCGCCATTACACTACTGACGGCTAACCCCTCCCGGACGTGCGATGCTTCTGCTCGACCGCCACCGTCGCCACCTCAGCCCTCGCGGGCAGTGCGCCGGGCTACAGCCGGCTCCGAAAGCGCAGGTCGCCTAGCGATGGTGCAGGGCGGAGCCTCGGGCCGTTCGGGTCTGTGGGAGACATCCGCTTCCGGGGCCGCGGCCGTCTTATTGCCCGGCTCTGCGGGCCCGCGGTTCTGCACTTGGAACCCGACCCCGGCGCCTACGATCCCTGAGTCGCACCTGCCTTCGCTCTGCCGCCAGCTTTCTCAGCTAGTCATGCTGGAGCATCTGAGCTCGCTGCCCACGCAAATGGTGAGGGCTCGACCCCAAGACGCCCCCCCCCCCCCACCCCGCACGCTTCTCTGGAGCTGGCAGCTCTCGCGGCCCTTGTCTCTTCCCTGAATTGTGCTTCCCGGGTCCCCATCTCTCTTCGCCCGCGAGGAGCCCCCTGCCCATGCGCCGTTAGGATGCTTCAGGTCTCCGGAAAACCTAGAATTTCATTTCTTGTCCGGTCCTTGGGGAGGCCCCTGATGCCGAGGTTGCCCGGTGCCAAAGCTGTGA